TGTATGTATATATGCATGTGTGCACGTATATATATATATGTATATATATATATATATATATATATGAATGTATGTATATATATATAAATGTATATATATGTATATATATATATATATATATCGTCGTACATACATGGACATATGCAATTCTTTGCAGGGCATAGTTATATGCATTAATATATATACCCATATCTTATTGCCAGGAGACGAAGCGGGGGTAGTACCAATGCAATCCCAGTAAGGAAGTTGGACAGGCTGCCTTTCCCATCATTTCTTGGCATTATACAGGATACCGGTATGCACCACTCTATAGGAGTGGATATGTGGTTTCTACCCTGCGTGTATGTGGTTGCTTATGTGTGTTTGTGTGGTTGCTTCCTTGTTTGTGTATGTGCGTAGATGTATATGTGCGCTGTGTTTTTGATGCCCAGTGATCGTTCTTGCTGGGTTTGTATTTAATCCCCGCCTCGTTACCCGTTGCTATGGTGACGAACCCCGTTTCAGTATTCAGTGGATGTTCCTCAATGACAACTTTTTATCCACTCGATTTTTCTGTATAAATCTCTGCACGCCAGTGAAGAGTTTTACGTGTATACAGTTAACTCAAGTCTCTGTGTACACTATCTTATTTATAGTACTGTCGCATCATAAGAGTTGTCGGTTCGTTGCCGCTCTGGTCCACAATGCCTTACTGCGGCACCTACCGCCCCAGGGTTTGTTATTTTTGAACATAACAAATACAAAGGCTAAGACTGACCAGATACACAAACAGTGGATCATCATACACTGTCAGGCTAAACACTGCCGAGAGAGCAAGCCTACACTTAACATATGGCAGGTCTCAGGGTTATAGTAGGGGTAATACCTTCCCACAGGCCACAAATTTTTTCAAATATATTTCAAAAAATGGACAACAGAACTGCCCCGGCTTAAAAAATGAGACGCTTTACACACCGAATTATCGGTTCGTCTTTAGTATGTCATATTTCGTTGACCCTAGATGAGACAGACACGCACCTTACATATGTATAGCATATCTCTACTTGTTGACATTATTACCACCACTAGTCCGCAATTACTGTGTATGTATATATAACTTGTGCAGCTTAGCCCCACGTACGTATACGAATACAACTATGTACTTACACACGCACCCATGTATGCATAGTATCCAACATGTATACACCTGGCTACATCAATGCCGTCTATCTATCAATCAATCAATCAATATAGATATACACGCTCATGTCTTCATACCATCGCAATGGCTTCTACAGCGCCTCGTCCTGTGCCCACAGCTGGCGACGTACGGACAATCATCGAATACACAACAGACCCACAATTAGAGGCGGAGGTTGCGACGCTCAAAGCGCGTGTGGCGGAGTTAGAAGGTATCAACAAAGAGTTGGAAGAGACCATATTAGAGGTGCAGGACGTAGCCGTGGGCAAGCTCACTTCTCTACTGCAGGCACGTGTGTGTACACGTCTCAATCGATGGGATGTGTGTGAATGTGGGGGAGTATACATGAAATGTAATGTGTATTAGACATGGACTGTAATGTGTATTA